ATCAGCCGAAGGAAGGACAGTCACTCCAAGGTCAACCGTTCGCGGAAGTGGCGGGGCTCGTGTTTGCGACACATTCGCCGAAAAAGGTTAAACGCTGATGGACGGCAGCGGTGGTGGAGACACAGGCCTCGACGTTTAATGACCCAGTTCGCGAGTCATTCATTAAAAGTGTCGTCCGTCCCGTGGACGTTCCGTTCTGCTAGTCGTCTCTGTCGCTGTCGCGTCGACTGTGTCGTAACAGTTGTTACTCGCTGTCCGAACCGGTCTCTGTCAAACGGAAGCTTCCTCTTGAGGGCGTCTCTCGTCGCCCTGGCCAACGGCCGCTGTAACCGTTTCTGCTTAGCACCGGAACGAGTCAACCGTGGCAATTTTCCTCGTCACAGTGGGACGAGGCAAGCGCAGTAGATGGCCCGTAGCTAGCATCCAACACAATCATAAGTTGCAAACCGGAATCAGAAGTGGGAACGTGATTTACCATGTCTGGCCATGAAACCTGTCTGTCTAGCCGTGAATTCAACGGTTGAACATCGCCGCAAAAAAGGAGCAGATTTTACCAGTATTGTTGAGTTGGTAGAACTTCCGCCCTGTGGTCATCGATTTCGCGTAAAGCCACGTTGGACTCGTCAGCCTTAAACGCTGATCCCCTCGCAGCAGTTGTCACCGTTGAATTAATAACAGGCTTTAAGGCCGCGACTGCTTCATCTGGCAATGCCAGAAAGAGTTGTGAAGAAAAACTTCCCTCATTAACGACAAAAAATCTTATTTCTCGAAAGATTAGATTTTTCAGTAAAAAACAGAGCATGCGAGAGCGTAGAAAGTTTTTCAAAGATTTTACATGATCATTCAAATACGACTTGCACGCTTTGGCCGAGAATATAAACGAATAAGAAGAGCTAAGTTCACTCGTTCGAGCAACGCAGTTGCTATCAGCGTAAGTAGTCTTCGCTACAAAAAACTAAACAGCAGATAACAAAAAACTAAAAAGATCCTCTTCGCCTGCCATGTGGCGAGGCGAACTGAGGCCATTTGCAATAAATCTCTTCTGCATTACCGGCCCTCTGAGTCCCCTTCAAAGGAAGGGCAAGACTGGTCGGCGATGTAACTCAGTGCAGTTTGATCTTGTCGAGATGGCTTCCTGAAATCTTGTGTGCAAAAGAACAGCAAACCGAAGGGTGCACTCGTTTCTCCGGTCAACCTCAAGTCCACTGTGTCCTTCTGAAAGAAGTTCTTGTGCATTTTCAAGTCAAGCCGTGCCTCATGCCACAAGATTCAACATGGATCCGAAGCTTTCGAGGCTCGATGGAGATGTGAATATTGACAACATCTGAAGGGCAACTGAGATAACAGTAGAAAAATCGTAAAACACGACTTGTTTCTCGCT